AATCGGTTTTTATTCTTTCAAACCGAATGTCGTTAAAACTATAACGAAAAAAAAGTTTTATGCAAAAGTTGAATCGTTTCAAAAGTACTTTATAAAGGAAATAGAAAAAAATTTTTTAACTTTTTTTTAAATTCTCCCCACGATTTCATATCTCTTTTTAATTTTGGAATTTTTTTAATGATCAAATTAAAGGTTAATTTTATATGAATTCAATCATATATGATACATTTATTTTCCGAGATATTTTTGGAAAATAATTATAAATTCCTACGTATACACGCTATCTGTCCGTGCGATCGATTCTTCATGAATAGATTCGTCTCATAATTGCGCTGACTACGCGAGAGAGCAAGTTAGTACAATATATTGAATATTGATATACGAGTTATAATAATAATAACAATAATTACCAGACAATAACAAACAACAACTCGTCGTCAAGACCATCGCGTTGCGAAACATTTCGCGTCTCGTCGATAGGGAACGATCTTCTCTTTCAAATATCAATTTTCGGGGACAATGACAAACAGATCATCGCTCGATCGTAACACTGCCCTGTTCTTCCTTCTTCAATCTTCGGATAAGAGGAAGGAGGAATTTGCTTCCGTGAATCCTTCGTCCTTATCAACATCCTAAGTCCCTGCCTTAGCATTCGCTCTATGGCCCAACGGGAAAACCACAGTCAAAAAACCACGGGCAAGGCAGTCTTCTTTTATAAAAAATTAGCCTGATGATCGGGCAGCAGAACGAAAAAATCCTTTTTTCCACGTCCTCACACAACTCATCTTCACGAAAAAGGAAACAAAAATAGAAACAGACTTCTAATTTCTTAATAGAATCAGAACATTTTTTTTAATTCTACGTTTTCCCCATAAGAACGATAATACATCACAGGCTCCAATAAAATAACAATTCTTAAAATTCTTCCTTTCCCGATACGGAGCTAACCTATCTAAATGTACTTTATTTTTATGTCTATTCTAATTTTCTAATTCATCTAATACATTATTCTTTTTTTTAACAACCTTATAAGGTCCGTTCTAATTATTCTGCAACTTAGAGGCCCTATCTAATATTCTGTAAGGATTATAAAGTCACACTTTTTGATCAGTCTTAAAATTTAACTGCCTATTTTTATGATCGTAATTTAATTTCGTTCTTTGAGATCTTAAATTCATTCGTTAACTTGTAACGTTATAAATATAATCCAACTTTTCGTTTAAATTAAAAGAAAATCCTTTCTCCTGAGGAATATCGCTAGTATCTGGAAGACATCCTCGAAGAAGATTCAAATCTTAATTCCTTATTAACTCCGAAGGACTAAAGGTTATTTTACATTTAGATCTGTACGCTAACAGCCTAAAGGAACCCAGCGATCCCAATCTCTCTAAGTCTCGGAGACAAATTTAACTAAATAATTCAATAACGTTTGATGTTGACGCTCCATTTGATCATTGAATTGAGGAAGGAGTGGGGAGGTCCGAGTTTTCTTTATCCTCCGAGATAACTCTTGAAATATTCGCGATTCAAAGTTTCTTTCCTGATCTATGTGCAATTCCAATGGCATACCATATCTAGAAATAATTTGACTTACAAAGGCTTTCGTAACTGTATTGGCTCTGACATTTTTTAATGAAAACGTTTCTACTCATTTGGAAAAATAATCGGTCGTTATCAGTAAATATTTTCGGAAGAAGATATTGATAATGGACTCAAAACATCCAATTCTTTTAAAGGGAACATCAACATTATAAATGAAGAGCAGACCTCCCTTTGCCCGAAGGACCTTTCTTTGCAATACAAACTTTACAAGTCCTAACCTAATGTTCTACATCCTGCTTACAAGTCGACCAGAAAAAACATTTCCGAATTTTCTCCAAAGTTTTATTTATTCCATAGTGTCCATCTAAAGGAAAATGGATTAGTTTTTTCGAAAGGTGTGAATAACTTTAATTAAATTATACTATAACACTATAATTAAGCTTGCTGAATTCGCCGGATTCGTGATTGAAATAATTATTGAGAGTTATTCAATAATAAATTAAATTTATAACAAAATGATTGTCGTTGGTGTTAGCGATCGAGTATAAATTATTAGAGATCACGCCGACATAAGGATATAACCGTCGCAATGAAATTTGGGCGTTCGCGGTTCGCTGAGATCGCCAGAGCGATCCGATAGTTATCGGAAAGCGGGTTGACAATTCGCGGTATTTGCGCGGGTTTTTCGATTATCGGCAAAGCGGTTGCGAGTCGTCGCGAGCACGTTGTTGCCTAACAACGGGTAATTGTAAATTATGACGACGTCACGCTTGACGTGCTTGATTCGGAAATAAGTGGATTCTTCAAATAGTTTTCTTAATATATATATATATATA